GGATTTCCACAGAGAGGAGTCTGATGACCTTAAATGACTTCCTGTCTCCTCTCTAATGACAGCTATCTGCATCCTGCCGTGTCTGAATGGCGGCCGCTGCGTGGCCCCCTACCAGTGTGACTGTCCCTCTGGGTGGGCGGGCACACGATGTCACAGCGGTGAGTCACATGTTTAGGAGGATGTATGTGAGGGAAGCTGCCCACATGCTGGGAGCGTAAGTGCTACTTGTTGGGCTGTGATTTATGAATGTGTGTGTGTGTGTATCCACAGCTGTGTGTTCATCGCCTTGTCTGAATGGCGGCAGGTGCATCCGGCCCAACAGATGTCACTGCAGTCCGGGGTGGAGCGGGCACGACTGCTCCAGGTGATTAACCAATAAGAAAGTTATTAAAAAGTGTAACTGTGTGTTAACCCGAGTGCCTTTAGGACATTTTGCAACAGTCTTAATTCAGAATTGTTAACCAGATTAAAAACCATTTCTCCTTTTCTTTGCAGGAAAAGGAAATTAGGATACTATCACATGTGAATCGTCCAATGAAGGGAGTTCTTGTATAGTAAACTGACTCATTCATTCTCATCTCTCTGCAATGGCGAAGCAAGAACCATTTTGTAAAATAAAGCTGTATTTTTTCATATAGAGACTCAACAGTATTAAACATATGCTGCTATATACTTGTACGATGTGTAAAAACTATTGATGTGATTGTCCAATGTATATGTGTAAACTATTCTCACATTTGTATTAAAGCATAAAATACCATTTCATGAGATTTTGTTGTTCACGTCGTGATAATCAGAAAAGTACAAAGTTCCTGTTACTCATTTATTTATTAAATCCACAATAAACACAATTTACAAAGCCAATCTCATATTAAACAGAATTCAAAGTGACCATGTTTCACCACATGTCAGCATACACTGAACTAACAGGACTACAGGAGGTCACTAATACACGATAAGTGGAATCAATTATTGTTTCTTGTATTGTGTGGCATAGAAGACCTAATGGTTATTTTACATTACATGGCAACATTGGCCACCGTGTTTTGTACACAATGTGTGTGTGTGGACTGCTCCCTGGAGATCTATGTCCTCAAAGCTACCAGTTTGCTTATCAGTGTTGCATCGTTGGCACCAGTGAGCTCATCCACCTTAAATGCAGCACAGACAGAATGATTAATGACAGCTTGAATTAAAATATAGATCACTAGGATAGAATGTGTTTGCTTATGCTAACATTAAAACTTAAAAATGTTAATGTCAATATTTGCTGTATCTTCTCATGCTCACCTTTTTTTCATTCTTGTAATAAAAGAATGTGGGCATGGCTTTGATGCCGCACTTTTCAGAAACATCCTGAAAAGGGCAAAACAAACATACTGTAAGATGGATGGACAGTCACTGCTACACCCTGGATGAAAACAACATGTGACCCATATATATGTGAAGCACACAATAATATCAGAAAAACACTGAGTTTTTTATAGCGTCCAACAGTCAAAATAAAAGGTTTCGTTATTGTTGTCAAAAATGTTTAAAAAGCTGTTGACTGAGTGCTAACTAGCAGCATTTTTTTTTTTTAATTAATGCACTTACTGTAGCAACATCCACGTCCACCACCAAGAAAACCACATTGGAGTTTTCAGGAAGATCCGCCTGTGCCTGAAAGAGAGTCGACCAATGAGCATTAATAAACACAGAATACCTGCTGCAATGTGATTGGGAGAGAAGAGGGAATTGATGCACAACATTCCTTGAAATCTTGGTTCTATAAAAGTTATGTGCAACCATAACAAAGATTAAAAGAAACAGGCTGGCTCTTCCCTATTCAAAGAATGTTGCCCGAGCGGTCCTCTGGGAGCATGCGTAACTCAGGGAGGGGCTTCCCTTCCACTAAAGCTGCCACTGTGTCTCAATACATCAGAACCATAAATCCACAGATAGCAAGTGACATTTTGTTGATTTAAAATCATTTCAGTGTTTAAAAGGATTACCGTCTGTGCCCATAATCTAGTGTCTTTTCTCTCCATTCAGTTCAATTCACTGTCTTTTTTTAACCATACTAAAATAATCACAAGATTTAAGAGCCAAAATCATCCTCTTACCTTAAATACTGGGCCAATCTTTTTGCAGGGGCCACACCAACTGGCTGTGAAGTCCACCACCACCAGCTTGTCTCCAGCCTCCTTCAGGGCTTTATTGAACTGCTCCTACAGAAAATGAAAACATATTTGAAATATAGGATTAACAACTTAAAATGGAAAATAAAATAATTACCACCATGTTCTTTGAAATATAATAATTCAAAAAAGTTTGTAGTACAAAGGCTTGATCATTATTTAAGGTATGGGTTGAAATATATGCTTTTTGAATGTCGGTAAGCTACAAAAATAAAAAACTAGACAATGCATTTCCTGCTGAAACTGCGTCTGAATATGTTTGACAACTTTCAAAGTTACCATGGCAACGTGGAGTGATCGTGAAAAAACTATGTTTAAAATGTGGTCATGCCAATAGAGCCCCTTTGTATTGTATACTGACCCATTGACAGTTCATACGAAAATATCTCTGACTTTGTGGGGCTTTTATTTTGAAAAATAAAGCTGATCCTGGGCTTCTTGTTTCTTCTTGTTCGGTGAATTTGTAGGACTTTTATTTTGAAAGAAAACATCCATCTTCCTTCGCTTCCTGTAAAGATACAGTAACTCTTTGGTGCTTTCATTTTGAATAGGTATTGTGGCAGGGAGAGAGAGACACAAAATGAAATGTCTGATGTCCAAATATGGGAGATTATTCCCTAAAAAAAGAGGGTCTGGTGGGAAAAGAAGTGTGTGTGTGTGTCTGTCTAAATAAGTAGCGTGGAAAGTCTCAAAACATCCAGTGTTTGTGTGCGCGTGTATCAGTCTGCCTGTGGGCGTGTCTTCTCTGATTAGATGATGTCACTCAGGTGTGTGGCCCTAATCTTCCCAGCAACACAGTTACCCGAGTCCCATTCAGAATGCATTGAGGTTTATCTGACAATTCTGCCCTCCTGTTTAAAAAACGACGGCTCCTATTAAATACATCAGACCGTGAGCACCAGGGAGCCCTGATTAACCAATCCGTGTGCATTTTCTGTGTAAAAATGTGAAGATGACAGCAGTTTTTATAAAGTTTTACTTCTTGCTAGTCTTAGGAAAAAAATAGAACACATTTAACATGGGCGTCTATTAGGAGCAGGGTGGACTTTGTGTCACTGATAACTAATTATTGGGCCAGAATGGTTGGTCAGTTTGATATGATGAAGGCATCGAGACACGGCTGACTGAAGAGTCTGTCCCATAGATACAACTTTAATAGTTTGAATGAAGTGCGTAGATGAAGGTATGCGGAAGAAGGAGCAGCATCGTGCAGATGAAAGAGGATTTGGAGTTTCCGGCAATTGAGTTACATGTTACAAAAAAAAAGTAAAAAAAAGCTGAATATTTTAAAACGTTTCCATGATTAAATAGTTTCCCCATCATGTGCGGAAATAGCTGAATATTTGGATATTTGAATGGTTTCTGAAGCTGAAGAATGCGGAAGTTATTAGAAGCCAAAAAGCGTGGAAAAAACTTGAAGACTATACATAGTGGGAATGCTGCTGAATCAGCACCTGTTTGACAAAGTTTAACAATAAAAGCTACAAGACAACACTTACCAGATTGGTGATATGGTAACCCCCATGATAGCTGACTGTTCTTTGAGCAGATGATCCGAAGACTGAAGTTTGGGAACTCCTGAAAACTGTTAAAACCCAGCTGAGACTTAACCACGCCCACTTCCGCATCAACGTAGCCCTGCGTCATGGACACTTTGGAGGGACTTGTACTTTACTTGAGTATTTCCATGTTTTGCTACTTTGTACTTCTACTCCACCACAATTCAGAGGTAAATAGTGTACTTTTACTCTATCAATTTAATATCTTTAGTTACTATCTTATAATCAACACTTAACTAAGACTTTAGTGACACCTGGAGTAAATTCACAAGCTACCCTGCAGCATACAAAGTCATTAAAACTAGCTGCACCTTTACCAGCTTTGACAACACTTTAATGTATCAATAATTATTATCAAAACGTTTAATATATTATTTTGAAATGGACCAATTTTCATAATGAGTACTTTTACTTTTGGTACTTTAGTATATTCTGATGCTAATACTCTGTACTCTTACTTGAGAAACATTTTGAATGCAGGACTTTTACTGTAACAGAGTATTCCTACACTCTTATACTTTTACTCAAGTACAAGTGAGTACTTCTCGCACCTCTGGTCATGGGTGTATCGTTCATTAATCTACTAAGGAAAATATGCTCTATGAAGTTACTGCTGCTGTTAAATTCATATTTCGTGGGATGAAAACACAGGGTGGCGCTCTAATGATGCGTCGATACTTTCTTAATGCGGAAGTGGTTAAATCTCAACTCAAAGTCCAACCGTTGTTATTATACATCCATGAGTCCGAACCAAAGCAGGAGATTTTTGTAAAATAAAAGTTTTTCTCATTTTAGTCAAACATTTTTTAAAAGCTGTTGACTGAGGTAACAGCGCCCTCTGCTGGCTCGAGGAAAATGGCAGAGACTTAGAATAATTGTCAATTTTCAAAAATGTCTCAGTGTTTACTGAGTTGTGTGGGGTTTCTTAAACGTTTACAAATATGTCGTGATATATGTGAAGGCCTAGCAAGTCATGCATATATTGCATAACTTTTTCTTTTTTTAAATATTTGTACACAATCATACGTTTTGCGATTCATGCGGATTAAGTTGCTGATCGCAGGGTGAGCAACCATAAGTTTCACTTCACTTTTCAATTTGAATGCTAACCTTGGTAATGAAAAAAATATTCCACGTTTATAAAGCCCGTATAAAACAACACCATAATGGCGCACGGTGCAAAGTAGGTGCGGTTATTGTAGTCCTCTGTACCGGACAGTAAAATAGGGTTGGATGCATTTAAATATGAATCAGAAAAGTATAAAAGTTCCTGTAACTTAGCATTTATTTAATTATTAAATCCACCTTAAACACAACATACAAAGAAAGTTCCAGAGTCAGGAGCAAAGCCAATCTCATATAAAACAGAATTAAAATTGGTCATCATGCTTTAATCAAACTTCTGTCAGGTAATACGCACACTGAATTAACAGTATTACAGTATGTCAACAAGACATGATGAGTGGAATAAATTATTATGTCCATTACTGAGAGGAACAGAAGACGTAATGGATTTTGTACGTTACGTGAAACTGGGATTTCACAAACATGTACAGAGGGCGATATTGGTTTCTGTGGGTTTTATACAATGAGGATGTGTGGGTGGATTGCTCGGTAGATGTCTATGTCCTCAAGCTTTCAGTTTCTGGATCATTGAATCTTGTTGGCTCCAGAGAACTCGTCCACCTGAAAGACGGCACAGACAGGAGGATTAAAGACTGTTTGATAAAAAAAACAATGACACTTTCATTTCTTAAAATGTAAATGTGAAAATCTGTGGCCTGTAACGAAATGTTTACTTATGCTAACATTACAACTTATTTTTAAATAAGTGAGAATATGTCAATTCTTGCTGTATATTGTCATGCTTACCTTTGATCCATTCTTGTAATATTGGAATGTGGGCATGCAGCCGATCTTGCAAATATGAACTCACTTCCTGAAAATAACCAAAAACAAGGACAGTTTAGATGGATTGAGCTAAGGGGACATAAACACTTTGGGGAATACAGTGAGTATTTATATCTTATTAGGATAATTGTTTGTTTTTTGTAGACAGGAATATTGTCCACAAAAGAAACAAGCCGTATCAAGTTAACAGCTTCACAGATCAGAAACCCCCACATATGTAAACACCACCTTTTTGTCAGAATATGTGTCAATAACAATAAGCCACCACCAACATACTGTTTCAAAAGACGGCAATTATCAACAATTTATCCTTTCATTATGGTCCAGCACTGAGACAGAAAAGCTTCAGTCACATTGAGCCAGCTGTGGTTCCACATAGCCCGGTTGAAATGGATTTTAAGAATAGCTCACATTGCTTTGAGTATTAACGACATGGTAACCCCCCCCCCCCCAACCAAACCAGTCAAAAGAACAATTTGGTTAATCCTTCTCTCGCCCCTCAAGACCGACCTTTCTTCACATTGCCTGTTACAGATATGGTTACCATACTAGATATTTTCAACTTCTATAATTCTCTGATGAACCAGGAGCAGTGTTACTAGTTGCCCAATGTGATGGCTCGTGCTGCGTTGTTGTGGATCACTGAACTAGCAGCAGCTGTAGTAAACTTATATTGAATCTCAATTGAAAATAAAGAAGCTTACATCAGCGTCATCCACGTCCACCTGCAGGAAAACCACGTTTGCGTTCTCAGGAAGAGTTGATTGATTCTGAAAGTGTCAAACAATGAGCGTTAATAAATGATGCACGTGATTGTGAGAGAATAAATTGTTCATTTCTTCTCTTTGAAATCATGGTTATCTTATTGACTTAAGTTCAGCCCCCATGGGTCTTGTAAAGCAGGCATCTCCCTACTTGAGGTTAGAAACAGCTTGAAAAGGGGTTGCCCAGAGCAACAAGAGAAGCTGTCCTAGAGCAACATGTGTCCCTCGGGGAAGGGATGAATCTGAATATTTACCTCGTATTCGTTTGTCCTCAGACTGGGAAAGTGACCAACACAGCATATGGAACATTTATTTTACTTGGTTCTCCTTTTCTAAGCATTCTAAAATAATTAAAGGGTCCCCTATTATCTGTTTTTCATCAATATTTTTATAGGTCTCAGATATATACTAAACATGTCTCTGAAGTGTTGGCTCCAAACACCAAACAGATCATGCATGTTGTAGCATCCCCAATCACCTCTGTTTCAAAAGTGCTGATTCTCTGTCTGTTACTTTAGATGAAACAAGGAGCCACTCCCCACGCCACCTCTGAGAGAATTGGTTAAAAGAACACCATAGGCGCGTTTCACACCGGGAGTACTTTTCCCCGTACTTTTTCCCGTTTAGTACCTTGGTTGGTTATTGGCTAATGGTTACCAAGCCAAAAAATCTTTATGACATCATAAAGTGGCCAAAATCTGATCAGCTCAATTCAGACAGGTCAGGACAAAAAGTGAGTGAATCTTTTTTCCTGAACGTTCAGAATCTCTTTACACAGAGGGGACACATGTTGATGTATAAAAAGACATGAAACAAGTGGATTTTGCATAATAGGTGACCTTTAAAACTATGGCTTGTACAGGACTTGAGTGTCAAAATCTGCTTACATGGAATTCTGGGCCAATCATCTTGCAGGGGCCGCACCAGGTGGCTGTGAAGTCCACCACCACCAGCTTGTCTCCGGCCTTCTTCAGTTCAGCCTGGAAATCCTCCTACAGAAAAGGAACACAGATTTGAAACTTGATCAAACCATAATGGATTCATGCCTAACTAAACATACTTGTAGCAATTTGGAAACTGATGTTATTGATATTCACTCTGTTTTACTTTGTGGTGGCTGTTTCGTCCCATGGTCACACATTGTTTTTATTATCGTTATAGTTCCAGCAAAACAGTTAATATGTAATGACTCTTCCCTTTAAAATAAAGACAACATTAACCATTAACTATAATATCAGAAGGTTATAAAAAAAGGTGTGGTTTTATGATGGTTATAAACTATGAACTGGCATGTTTCTCAACGAGGTTTTTTTTTCTCCACCAAACATCCGGGGATTACCATCACCTGTACATCATACAGTATGTGTAAAGTACATTACCGTAACCACCCCTCCGACACACTCAATGAATGAACGGCCGGCTGTGGACGGCCCGCCATGCAACGTGATGCAGTATATACATTAGCTACAAGTTGTTATAACTTTAGCATCTCCCACCCGCAAACAAACAATAATAATGAATAAAACCAACGTCACTTATGCAGAATTGTTGGCGTACAGTCAAACAAGCACTCAGACAAATGCTACTGGTATAAATGCTTGTTTATAAAAAGGTTCATGGATGTATAAAGAGAACTGGATACACATATGAGGGTTGCCAAGTCACGCATGAGGCTAAAAACGGCCTGTGCTAAAAGTACCCGTATGTGGGCCTATAGAGCATGCGCAGTTGGGTTTTCCCGTAAGCCCCGCCTCCGATCTCCCGCTCTCGGCTCAGTTAGATGGATGGAGAGGGAAAATAACTCTGGAATCAGGCTTTAAGCGCATTTCACTACTTTTAGACCATAATGATTAAAATAAGGGCTATCAAATTGTTCGCACTGGGTGGCTGATTAAGTAGAAAAAAGGTATCCGCTGATTTACAGACGTCAAGTTAAGTCAGTGGGAAAAAGTATTTTGGGCCAATGACGTCTGGACTGACAGGGAGTGTAGTACCGTCGATTGGCCACTACGACATTTGCTTCATTGCCCGGCGCACTTCTTGGTTAAAGTCCACAGCGTTCTCTTTACACAGCCATGGTGCAGAGTAACAGAAACACACATGGTGGCGGCCAACGTTATTCACGCTGATTCATCCAGTAACGTTGTTTCCATTAAGCGAACTTACAACTCCATTAAGGCATTATTAGAGGCGTGTTTTCTATCCAACGCACCGTTATTTAAAAGAAAAACCTATTAAAAAAACGAATATGGAGAATGAGAAGGGGAGAGGTGAAACAGGCAGCACCACATCGAGCAAGCTAAAATAAATCCACTATTTCTTTTTTTTTTTACAATGGTTCTTCTAAAAGCGTTCAATATCAAAAGCTGCGGAGCAAAACAAACTTACCAGACTCTCAATGATGATAACCCCCATGATAGCTGTTGAGTGTTCGAGGTGATGAAGCAACGGTTTGGGAATCCCTTAACTCCAGAAGACACGCCGCGGTTTTATGGCAGAGCGTCAAGCTACACGAGCAAAGTCCACCACACGGCGGAAGTACTATCAAATAAAAGTAGTTGTCTATCACATAGCGTTAACAGCATGGGTGTATATCTGAATTTAAAATTGGTGCACATTACACAATTACTTTATTAATTTGTTCAGTTGTGAAATAATGTAACTACTGTTATATACCACATTTCATTCTACAATGTTACAATTATTTTTAAAATACTGCTGCTACTGTGTACTTCTGTAAAGTGCAAGGACCCCAAGATCATACTTAAGTACAATACTTGAGTAAATGTACCTGACTGCATTACATCACCGGTTTTTTTTCAATTTGAATTGAGCGTTACAAAGCTTTTTATAAGAAAGACTCTTATTTTGAAGGGGCCAGCGATGTAATATTTTCCATTCTGGTTGCTTTACGCCCAAATGTCATGAGCTGCTGGGTGTTAACGGTATCAGCCACATTTGTCTCCAGGTCAATCATGTAATTGTGTTTATGGGTGTTTTCTTGTAATCGTTTGGAGGAACAGTCAATTTAGAGATAAAGCTGACTTTAAACAAAACATAGGTTACAGGGTAGGCTTTAAGCTACAGTACTGGGTTACTATTTTATGAATGAGTAATAATATAATATTGTTAGATAATGTGTCGTATTATGTATCTCCTGTGTATTATAATGGTTTCATTAATGGCAGCGAAAGTGGTTTTACAGTAATTCCAGTCACAATGACTTGACGAATTCCTTTACCGTAAACGACTGAAGTCAGAGCAGCTCGATTTCCTTACAACCATGCGTGAATTCCCGTCACCACGTCATCTCTTTTTCTTCAGCCTTTTCCAAACATGAGGTGGTAAACAATACTGTTATTACATGTATTTTCTAATTGTATAGATATACTACTATATGCAACAATATCATTAATTGTTTTGGAAATGTGCTTTTTTTTTTAGGATGTCTTCTTAAAAGTACATGTTCACTACTTTGTTATAGAAGTATAAACATTTGCATTAGTGTCCGGACCAGACTGATATGTAAGCAGGTGGGTTGATGTGTTCCCAAAGTCTAACCAGTAAAGAGACTTGGCATACAACGTTTTTAATGTGGTTAATGTTCACAAAACAAAAAAATCCTTATCAACAATAAAGATCAGTCATTTTATTAAATCAAAATCTTATGCTATTATACATGTTTGTCTGAGAGAAATAAAGTAGTTTAATTTCAAAGTGATATGGAAAAGGTCAGTATTTTGTAATATTTTATTTTGTTGGAAGTTAAAACATTTTTAAGCGTCACGATAACATTTGTAGTAACTGGGGAATTAAACTCGGTATAATAAGCTAATTTTCTGGTAAGTGCAATTTTGGAATTGGTCCATAGGGTCCTGATCATTAAGGGAAAAAATAAAACATACTCCTGTAGGTATACAACTCCAAATATCTCCCCAAACTGGGGAAACCTTGTGATTTTCTACCGGAACAAACAGCAGCCCTTGTTACCATGGAGCTCTCATTACCATCACAAGCTTATGAAATTCTAATTAGTGTCTAAAAATACGGTCTATTTCCTGATCAAATAAAGGCTGCACTTGGCAGCTGAGGGCTAACTCTATTATGTCGAATACACTCATTTGAGGATTGAAAGGAGATCACATCTTCAATCGCTTTCTCTTCTATTCTCCTCCGCTTCAAGTGCAGGACACGCATACATTTGTACTAGAATTACACTGGATAGATACTACAGTCTGCAAAATAAAGCCCAACACAAAGGTAAAATATACGATGTCAACAGAAAATCTGAGGAAAAAAGCCCTTATTTGTTTTACACAAACTCTCACTAAATACAACACATATGTTATAATAGCATTACAATAATGTACGAATGCAGCAGCAGATCTGGAAATCTTGTCCAAGTACACTCAAATACAGAGACAATTGTCTGGATAGTGGTCAAAACTTGGAAAAATGTTTTATATTAGTACGTATACTACTAGTGTGTTACCATGTAGGGGCATATGAGAAAGACATGCTCAATTGTCTTGTAGAAGTAATCTTAAAATTGATGAATTAATTAATTGTTGCTAGCCCTGCAAATTATTTAATGGAACATCTTTGTCTCATTTCTGTCTGTCTTTCTGCTAGCTGTGTGTTTCCTGCCACATAGGCTGAAAAAGAGATTATAACATCTGTGAGTGTCTCTTGGTGTTCAGACAAATACTCTTGGCGGACTTGGCGCAGGTACTTCATCTCTTATCTTTAATCACCAGTGTGTGTGTGTGTGTGTTTCCACCGTGTTATATCCTAATGAACTGAGTGTGTAGGTTCCAAGACAGTGTCTCCAATCCTGATTATTTAAAGTCACTTTTCTTGTCTTTATTCTTTAAATGCAAAACAAAAAGTATGATCCTTATCATTAATAAAAAGACCTAGTGGTGCAGTATCGTACACTTATGTAGGGACGTATATTTTCAGTCTTAACTCACATTCTATATATCACATTTTCCATGGACATCATGTTAGTATACACATATCTGGTTGGTTATAAGCTCTATTAATCCTTCATGTATGAATCCTGTAATAATGTTACATTAAACACAGGTTCTTCTTCTTTGCTCCACATCAGACTGCGACGATAGCCTTGCCGACGTTTTCCCCCCGCAGTATCCCCATGAAAGCAGCTGGCATCTTTTCAAAGCCCTTTGTGATGTGCTCCCGACACTGCAGTTTGCCCTGCGGATGGAGAATAAATAAATAGATTAGAGAAATGACACTGAAGGAGATACACAGGCAACCCTAAGATAAACTCTAAAGACACACGTGAACAATTCTGAATTAGATCTAATATCGTAACTTGTTTTCAGACACCAACCTCTTTCAACCATCCCATCAGCCTCTTCAGGGACTCGGGGTTCTTGTGCTCCCACCTGCTCTGCATGAAGCCCTCCATCTTTAGCTGCTTGAAGATCATGGTCAGGTGGGGGAATGGACCTGAGAGAGAGATACATGGTTAAAGAAAAGAAAACTATTTGATCAAGACAGATTTCTCTTTACACATCTCTCAAATGTCAGTAGTGCAATGTCGCCCTCTAGTGAGGAAAAACAAACATTATTTGATAGGGTTCCAACACTTTTTCCAAAGTCAAAATCAAGCACTTTTAAAGATGTCAACACCTTACAGATGTGGTATTTTACACATGTGTAAAGCGTGCATACAGTATATGGATAACTTCACTACGACATCATATTCAACCAGGTGTTATGGTGCTCTAAAACACCTTAATGATGTTTCGTGACAGTATTCTACAGAAGGGAGGAAAGATGTCAGGAAAACACAACAACCTGTCATGTTTCATAATGTCTTACCTGTCTGTTCTATTGAAACTTCAAGCAATTTCAAAGACTTTGAGACCAGCATGTTCAAATGTAAGGATATCCAGGAGATTCAAATATGTGCAGTTTTATTTAAGCACAGTTTGAACTGCATTTTTCTTCCTCAAGGAATTTAAAGGAAAAATTAGCAGGACTATTAATAACAAGAAAATTCAAGCAGGGAAGTTCCCACCTGTTTGGGGTGTGGAGTCATTGTACGTGGAAATGGCTCCACACACAGCAATTCTTCCAAAATTCTTCATCTGCTGCAAGGCAACACTTGAAGAAAGTCCTCCAACCTAAAGCAAAGAATATGATTTAAACACTTAGCCAACAATGTTAAAGTAAGCTGTGAAATGTGTCAAACCACTTACGTTTTCGAAGAAGCAGTCGTATCCGCCTGGAGAAGCTTTCTTCAGCGCCTCCTCCATGGAACCAACAGTCTTGTAGTTGAAGGCCTCGTCGAAGCCCAGTTCTTTGAGGAAAGCCACCTTGGCATCAGTCCCTGCGGACCCCACCACCTTACAGCCCTTGATTTTAGCAATCTGGCCCACCACGGAGCCCACGGCCCCCGCGGCAGCATTCACCAGCAGGGTCTCGCCCTTCTGGAGGCCCAGAATCTCTTCTATCCCGTACAGAGCTGTCAATCTGGGAAGGACAAGGAAGAGTAAAACTAACAAAAAACTGAAAACAGAGACGAAATGTTTACCTTGAGTTCCACAGAAAAGTCTGTTTGACCTTTGCAGTGTAAACTCTTAGTTTCCACTCCAAGGTCATCAGTGCTTATAAGATGACTTCATCTCACCAGCAGGACCAAACATCTGGAGCCTGACACGTTTATTTGATCAAAGACAGACGAAACTCAGCTGTTCTGCTTAACTGAGAGTCTCTCACTCTCTCTTAAACATTACCAGAAGAACGGCAATACTTTCCCAGATAAGCGGTCTAATCTAACATTTACTCAGGGATGGTCAGGTCTTTCTTCTGCATAATAGTTCACAGATAAGAGAAGCCAAAACAACCTTCCCCTTTTGGCTAGGAGGTGACTCAAAAAAGAAGGCATTGTTTGTAGTGAAACAAGTTCCACAGCTGTCCAGATGTCCATAAAACGATCATAAATGCTGACAAAACATGACACTGTGAGAAAATGAAATGTACTTTAACTTCTGGAAGTCTGGCTGCCAGACGTGAAATGTTTGTATTTCTTACCCCGGCATGCCGATGGCACCCAGAGCCAGAGACAACGAGACGTCTTGCGGCCACTCTGGCATGATGGGAACGAGACCCATCCCGTTGCAGACTGTGTGGCTCCTCCAGCCACAACGACCAACAACATGGCTTCCCACAGGAAATGCTGGGTTGTTACTTTGAATCACTCTACAGAAAAGAAAAATAACAACAGAAGAAGAAAGAAAGCATATGTCAATTAAGGGTGTGTCACTGGGCTTTTTTTAAGTTTGAAGACTAAAGCCATATGGATGACACAGGAGTAGGTACTTTAAACATGACTAATCTTTATACTGGGTTGTGGTATCCTAGACATCTTTATGACGTCAAACCATGTTTCAGATGTTTTATATGCACTTTGGTTCACAAAGTTACGAAAATGCGTACCATGTGCGTGTACAACAGATCATTGCGACGTTGTTTGGAAAGTTTGGTCACTGAGTAGTTTATTCTGCATGTTTATTAGCAAAAAAACATTTCCACTGTAACAGATTGTGCGTGTAAGGCTACGCCAAGAACATTTCATTTATCCACTTTCGCTTTTTAGTCTCTGTAAATCAAAGGCTTAAGTAATTATTAGCAGGTGTAGGTTCTGTTTCAGTTAACATCAGGGCATGCACGTTAAATCATGATAGATTAAAGACATTCCTGTGTGTGTGTGTGTGTGTGTGTGTGTGTGTGTGTGTGTGTGTGTGGCGGTGTGTTTGTTTTCCTTACTTGGCCACTTGAGATCCGATCATCACATCGCCTTCATTCATGCGAACCCTACTGAAAGGCCTGGAGAGACATCACATTGTTAGATTCTTGGAAGTTGCATTAATGGGTTAATTGATTTGTTAAAGAGAGTGCTGCTTACAATACTAATGGTGAATGTTTTTTTTATTCACAACCGTATTATCCACTCACCTCATGTATGGGTCCACACTGAGAAACACTGCTTCCAAAAGCACCTCTGAAACAGAAAGGGACATTGATGAAAAACAAGCGTCATGAAGAACAGATGTTTTCCAATTCTATATGTGACTCAACCATACTGACTCATGTAAACTGTTTTAATGTTTGCCATGAAAAACATAGAGTTTGAATTACTTGGCTAAGTTCTTATAAGAAAAGAATAAGGACAAAAAATAACTTACCTCCATCTTTTGGCGCAGGCAGCTCCTCCACCTTGAGCTCAAAGTCGCTGTCCTTCGGGAAGCCGTCAAAGTGCTTGGTCAGGATCCACGTCTTAGCTTGGACCATGATTATTTTTTTTTAGGGCAGCTGTGAAAGGTAGAACAGATGCAGATACAGTAACAGTTAGTCAGAAACAATAACATCTTAATTTCTTCTTATTAAGGCAGCACAATGTCAAGTCAAGTTATCCTGGGTGTGTAGTGTGTACTAAGAGGTAATGACAGATTTATGTGCATGGTAAGGGACATCCAAAACCTGCTATGTAAAACCATAAAATAAAAACAGGGAGAAGTATTTCCAATCATGCTCTCTTTGTACAACTCAACCACATCCTTGACCTGACATTTTCTTGGAAGGATTTCCTCCCTGAAAACAATGATTCTATTTTTAATAGGGTTGCAGGCAGGCATGTGTAAAGTTGGTATGTGATCATACAAATGAACAGGCTGTAAGATAACACTAACACCCAGGAAAGTATGAGTGTGTAATATGTTAGAAAAAGCAAACAACATAACATTACAAGCTCATAAGTGAGAAGTGAACTCCTAGCTGTGGGCATGCAGGCTGCTCTATGTTTACCTACTGATGCACCTTCATCCATATTAGCATGCATCAAGTTAGTTTGAGATATATATAGATATTTATCTCAAACTAACTTGATACATGCTAATATATACATATATATATAAATATACAGTCTATGGTTATTACACACAGTCCTGTCAACGTTATTTATATCACTTACCAGAAGTAGTTCTCATCAAAGGAAAGGCAGAAGAAGAAGTGAGCTCATACAGAAAGGAACAGGGCAAGCAGCGCGGGTTGGTGAACGCGTGGGAGGAGAGGAGGCGGGAGTTATGCTTCATCCTAGAAGCTGATTGGTTGGAGGTTTGACGCAGCCTCTAACGTATGACGTGGAACGTTACGTTGTCCGGCGTGTCGACGTTCCGTCAGTTCGGATTGTTGGCGCGATTAAATAACTGGCTTCAACAGGATGCTAACTAAAAGGAAATTCTGAATACAATTGTAAGTTGTTGTTTGACAAATTTGACTTTTCTTGTAAAGATTAATATACGAATACACTGCACTCGACCCAAGTGCCAATTTACATGGTAGTTAGCATGTTAGCTATACCTAGTTTCTAGCCATTAACTGGCTAAAGTACTGCAACTGTTTAGCTAATGATAAGCTAACTGTTGTGACGGATGTGCTTATGATACTTTCACCAGATCCATTTTAACAAATACACACATCATTTATTTGCGAAGACACTAACAATTGTTTAATATTGTTAGAAATGTATGAAGTTTTCCTTAACGGTCGACTGCGGCTTAAGTTTGGAAAAACATTTAGAGTCAGTGATAATGGTACTGTAACGTTTCTTGTGATAAATGATTTTAGAATATATCAAGGGACTGTCACTGTTGAACTCTCGTAGTAGATATATTTAGACTAATCTAATTTGTTCAGCAATTCATCTTACTTAGATTGAAATTGTAATTTCAGTTTTATTTAGGCATTTTGCAGAGGTGTTAACTCACATTTGGTCATTTTGGAGGATGCTGTTGTTGAATTGTGAGGTTGTATACTACTGAGTCTTATTAAGAAAACAACACCATAAACAATAAAACTGTTGACAGTGTCAATAACTGAAACTATAGTAAACTAATGCCAATGTCCAGTGATATTATTGATTTTAAATGCCACTATTTATCTGTACTCTCTGTGTTTCACTTTGTAAAAATGCTGCATGTTTGGAAATTATTGCAGGGTTTTAATAGACATAACTACCATGAATATGCTTTGCTTTAACTCTCTTCCTATTGGTCTTCCTAATCCTCCACAATCCACATGTTGCTGCTGTTTGACTGACTAGTACTAGCCATAGAGCTGTGATTCAACATGTTAAATGGTAGCCAGTTTGTGGAGGCCGTGGGCCGTCTAGGTTTTCCTGCTGCATCATCACTGAAGGCCTCTGACTTCGACTGGCTGTTTGACTGCGCCCCGGAGAACCTTCACTTCTTGCGCTTTGTCTGTCGGACCCTCAACCAGAGCAATGTTCTCACAGCAGAGGAGGCACATGCTATCCAGGAGCTGCGGAAGTCTGGCAAGCCATTTTTGGATGAAGCAGCCTTGGGCGAAGTCCTTAAAACCATTGGACCTTCGGATGGGAGCAGCGCAAACATCTTCGGGCCCTCTTCTTCATCGTCATCCTCTGTGTTTGCAGCTGAGCGGGATGTGGCTATAGAGGATTTGGAGGCAGAGCTCCAGGCGCTGCGTAAAGAGAAAGAGCTGAAGCAACGGCGGTACAACCGGCTGCAGCTTGTGGCCACCTCCCGTGCAGATGTTGACCTTCGTCTTTCTGCTGAGCTGGAGAGTGCTGCCTATAAACTAAAGGAGGCCAGTGCTGCCATTGGAGCTGAGAATGCTGACACCAATGCCCTACTACAAAACCTAACAGATGATGTTACAAAGCTTGCTTCATATCTCCCGGTTCAGCCGGCAACACAAAAAGAATCAAAGTCCTCATCAAACACTTCCAAGAGCCCCACTGTTCTCCTCTCCCAGCTGCCCCTAGATCCCTACCTGCACCAGGAGGAGCTCAACACTAAAACACTATCTGCCTTCACTCGGAAGCAATTCTTCCAGGGCATCTCTGACATTGTGGAGACTTCTTGCTCTGAGCGCTTCCAGGTTCTTGACCTCAGTTCTTGTGAAGATGGAGAAGACGAAGAGAAGGAGCACAAGGGGAAGGAGATGGAGGAGCGAGTTGTGGACCGCAGGAGGACGGAGATGGCCAAACTTCAGTGGGCTCATATTGTGGCCCAGCACCAACTGATGCAGGCCACGGCAGAGGAGAAGAGTGTCAAGGCTGGCCTAGAATGGCTTTCTGAGAAGTCCACTCATACCAAGGTAAGCAGTTGTTTCGTGTTTTATATCTTCTGCAAACACTTTCGCGGTTCTCATTGTCTTTGTGGTATTTGTTGTTCCTGCCTCCTGTCTCAAGTTCTCTTTCCTATCTTTGTCCTCACCCTGCCAGAGTATTTCCAGTTCCTCCTCCCTGCATGTCCGCGAGGTCGTGTCCAGGAAGGAGCTGCAGGCGGTGGAGGCGGAGTTGGAGGCTCTGCTCCAAGGACCGTTACCTGCTGCCCTCAGAGAGTCAGCCAGGCTGCTTAATGTGCCGGTGGTGAGGGGAGACCTGGCTCTGCAACTAGCCCGGCAGGACTACTACACATCCAGACAGGATCAGGTTAGTTGGTGATATCACCTATGTACTTCTCAGGGGGCAGGGATAGTGACCAATCAGCTTTGCTTCAGCTACTGAGAATGAAATGGTCTTGCTTGAAATCATTTGAATGAGAAACAAGGTGCTTGAGTAACCCTTTTAAGAGTTAACATTTTTACTGCTCAAAGAATAATAATATAATAATAATAATCACTTTATTTATATAGCAGCTTTTGCATTTACAAAGTACAAAGAGTTACAAAAAGTTTACACACAGAGAATGAAATGAACTAAAGACCTGCAACGGAACCCATTATAAAACAGAGAGTAAAACAAACGGAAAGTAATAAAACACAAATATAAAAGCTTGAAAGCAATTATTTGAACAGAGTTTGATGACGAATTAAAGTCAAAATGTGATAATTAGCGATATGCATTTTAATGTCATGCTTAAGACATGAAACCACCATAACATCTACCTGTCATTCTAAGTCAGGCATCCTCAAAGTCCGGATCCGGACCGAACCACAACTGTCTCTGGACTCTGAGCAAATTATACTTTTCATATGTATTATCTGTGTTATCTGTGTTATCTGCGAGACATCGCCACAAAGCAACGAGTCAAAATTCTCCGCTATGTCCACTGCAAACAGCGCTCTGCATGTCCGACTGTTCCACTGTCTGTGTGTGTCTGTCAACGCTTTGGTCCAATCACATTCAGTATCCCGTCAGCGTTTTTTTCCCCCCACCAACAGTCTGCGAATCAGAGGCACAGTAGGGCGGGTCTTCGCGGAATGCGGGTGGGAAAAATGCGTGTCTCGTCTCTTTCAACCTGTCTGAGTCAGAGCGAGAGTTTAAAAAATAAAAAGTCAGAGCGAGAGTTAACAGCTCATCTAGTTGCATCTGTACTGTAACTAGTAGCCTAGTTTCACCTACTGGGGTGGCATGGGGTGGAAACTGCCATCCTAAAAATAGGCCTTGCCACCCCAGTTGGCAGCTTTGTTTTGAAAGAAAAGTTGTGGCTCATCTGACATTTATGAGAGAAAGTCTCTAATGTCCGAGTGCAAGTGAATGCAGCACAAGACGATTTCATTTGAACGGGACGGCACAAAACGAGAAGCATTCGGACCCAAGTACTGAAGGAATGAGGTATTTGCGGTCTACAATGACAGAGAAGAGACTGTCAAGTTTGGCTGTACTCAGCATTGAATCAAAACGCACTAAAGCTGTTGATCTTAATAAGTTTGTGAGGCGTTTTGCTGAACAAAATGGTAATCGCCGCATTCAGCTGTAATAGACATGTCAACTTGATGCTCTGCTCACGGATGAGCATACAACACTGTTAAGATGATGACCATACGTGTGTACAATTTATATTTTTTTCTTTGTGGGGGTCTGCCCCCAAAAAACAGTTTTAAGTCCTGAGAAAGTCAAATAAGACGGTGTGTAAAACTACACTGCCCAGCCAAAAAATAGTAACCACTTTGATTTAACTAGGCCAGTAGGTAAGGGCATTCCACTGGATAATAACTGAAGTATAAAAGAATGCATGACTGAAGTGATGGAGACCATGTTTGAAGGCAAACAAAAAGAGGAAATAACAGGTCAGATTCCACAGCAACCAGAAGAACATAAATACTGGCTGGTGATTTGATTAATCAGCTTTGTGATGGAATAAAAAATGCACAGTGCATTTCCTTAGCTGTGGATGAGTCCACTGACACCACTGACAATGCTCAGTTGCTGGTGTTTGTGAGTTTTTATGATGAGGCAAAGGGGGAGTTTGTTGAAGATGTGTTGGGCCTGACGAACCTCAGTGGACACACAAGGGGGCAAGACATTTATAAAGCAATAATGGGAATGCTGAATGAAAGAGGGTGCAGCTGCCTTTATTCATAACTGTGCAGCTCACACTGCGACTCTGAGGGATCAAGCACAGACACAATAACAATGAAAACTGCTGCATACAGATTATTTTTGTTTTTGCAACCTCGTCTTAAGAATCTTGTTGCAATTGTTTAAAAGTTTGAATGACCGTAATAAACGGACCTTTGTCTTGTTGAAAAATGTCTTTGGACCTTTAAGATTTGTATTTGAGTACCCCTGTTCTTAATCAATGTTTAAACAAGAATCAACATCCCTAGGAAAACTAATTGTCTTCCTAGGTACGAGGCTATCTGCTCCGCCAGAAGGCGTCCTTTGACCTGGTGCGCGTGGGTCAGGAGATGGAGTTGAGGAGGTGGAGGACCGGTCTTAAGCAGCTGGGAGAAATAAACAGCAGATTGGTAACGGAAGGTGAAGCGACAACCCTCAGAATTGAGTCCCTGACCCACCCTGACCTGGCTATTAACCCCCGGCCCAACCCCATCATCAGCTGCAAGGATGCAGCCTTCAGCAGGTAGGAGGACACCAGCTGTAATGTGCTGTTTTAGAACTGATGATGTAAAAAGCATTTTATTTGCAAGTCTTTTAGAATGATGTAGTCGTTTTTTTATGAATTAAATAATATATCCCCCTGTCTTAACTAACAAGTCATAAGAAAAGTAAGTTTTATTGGTTCATTATTCATATACTGTACTCTAGTGCATCGGTTTTCAAAGTGTGAGGCGCGCCTCCCTGGGGGGGGGCGCCAGAGAGCTTCAGGGGAGGCGCAGCGTGAGAAAACAATAACGAGAAAAAGACGAGTAAAGTGTCACTTGCACACTTTTGGCTGTCTGTGGAGACCGAGTTCCCCCACCTCGCCAAAAAGGCTGTAAAAGTGCTCATTCCCTTCACCTCCACCCAGGGGCGGACTGGCCATCTGTGTGTTCTGGAGAATCACAGAACGGCCGGACGTCAGCAGGCCGTTGACGGCCGGCTCGGTTCGCTGACGGCCGGCAGCGCCCTTAATTTTGTATGTTTTTAAACGGCATCATTTAAGTTGCGCTGACAGGCGTTGACAGTTCACTAGCTTGCTAGCTCTAGCTGGCTGTGAGATTCCAGGGCTGATTTTTTGTCCCAGTCCGCCCCTGCCTCCAGCTACCTGTGTGAGCGCATTGACTTTGATCAAAAGCAAGTACCGGTCAAGGCTGCAGCCAGAGGATGATCTGCGTCCTGTCTACATTGCATCCCCGCATCATCCGCCTGTGTGCATCAAAGACGCAGACTCATTGTTCCCACTAAAGTAGGGGTGAGTGTAATACGGAGGCAAAGTTGACATTCAGTGTGTTGCCGGGAGCATATAAGGATTTATCCACGATGTTGAAAATGTTAAAAAAATATATAAAGATAAAAAGGTTTTAAAAAGTTATTGTTTAATGTTTTAAGGAGGTGACGCTACTCAGCCAATCAAATTGGTGCAGTCAGTGAGTCAGCACGATAGATTCAAACACACACAGAGACGAGACGAGAAGAGAGAAACAGTCGGAGTCATTTCAAATGGCGTGCTCAAAAAAGAGAAAGGTAGACAGTGAAAACAGAGCATTGAATGACATGTTCTCTTACTGGACCTCTTTGATATGCAATTGAATACCCCTGCATTATAGCAACAACAACAATAATAATAATAATAGCAATAATAATTGGGAGGGGGGGTGCGGCTGTTCTTATGTTCTCTGAGGGGAGGCTCACCTTCCCACACTTTGAAAACCCCTGGTCTAGTGGATGTTATTTGAATGTGAATATTTACACACCACGAACATGATTTTTAATAATCATATTAATAATGAATAATGCTTTGGTGCTATGTTGGCTGCTTTGTGCCCATGACACTCTTTAGTTGTCTTCCTTCATATGCGTGTTGTTTCACTTTGGATTATAATTCAGTGTTGTATGCATTTCTCTCCCCAGGCTGCTCCAGATCCTTGACCATGACTCAGAGCACGGTCGATCGGAGCCTTTCCGGACATATGAAGCATTGGACCACTCTGCTCGTGACCTCGCGGGCAACCTCCAAGTGACCCGAGACGCTCTAGCTGGCGCCGGGCGTGAGCAGTACTACTCGGCAGCTCGTCTCTATGGCGACTGTGAGGCGCTCCACAGGGCCATGTACACAGAACTCCAGCAGCTGCTCTTAGGGCCGCAGGTACGTCCTAGGGCCACTGACCAGGAGCTGCTCTGTCCCAATGCACAGGTGGGTTTCTTTCCTTTTTATCTTCTGTCACCTTGGTCAACCGAACATTTCAAAAACAAATACTTAACGTGAGTCAGCTGAATTTAAAATTACTCGTCACTTTTGGTGAGGGAAGCTGGTAGCACTCTGTTTATTCCTTTTCACTCACATAAAGACACGTTGGGTCTAAAACGCACTGTGTGATAATAAGTGGCTCTCAGGAAGTGGACTGTTGATTGACTTTATATGGATGCAATATGTTTGTCTTAATAACATCGTGATCATTTATTGATATCAGACAATGATACTACAGATTATTCAATTATTAATTAAATGTTTTGTTTTGTTATTGCATTCATTTGTATAGTACTGAATCATGTCTGTATCACCTTTTGTTTCATTTGTATTTTCTTTGGTTTTACACGCTCGAAAAAAAAAAAAAAACTAAACTAATTTACTTTATTTGAATAATTCCTTATCTTTTATTGATTCAAATGGGTGCTCACTTAACCTGTTGCAATATTTTTCTTTATATCTCATCCGTGTGCTTTGTCCCTACAGGAGCTGACCGTGAAGCTTGTGGAAGCCGAGTCTCAGCTGCAGAGTATGCAGCATTTAATGCAAGAGATCATGGGGGAGGATAAAGCCAAGCGCTCTCAGCTGGAGCGCAACGCCCTCCTCAGGCGAGAGAGGGTGTTGTACATCTACTTCCACTTGGATCAGCGACTGCTGCAGAAAGTAGTGGAAGAACTGGAGGGCAAAATGGCTGCGAAGAGAGGGCAACAGTAAAGCCTATGCTAAGGGAGTCGAGCTGCGTTATGAAGCTTGAAGATATCTGAAGAGACACTGTTCAACCGCTTTGGAGCCCCGTGTACTCAAAATATGCACCTTCACTTGGAAGTGGAGATCAGTCCTTTAAGTCTTTATTTTTGGGATAAAACCCAACTTGGGAAATGTTTAGATATATATGAGCAGGGCTGCTTACAATGGGATTAATTTGAATGTGTTTATGTAAAATAATCGTATGATTTGTCTTGTCTTCTGATGTTTTGAAACTGCTTTTTTGCCATAAATAAAGTAAAATGTTATCATTTATAGAGGAATTATTGTGATTTTATTCTGGAGGGTTAGCTGAGATGCTAGTTCAAACCAGGGCTGTTTGTAACTGATGTATAACTCTCCCCTTCGTCCTGTTTAGGCCCTCAACAGTTGAAGAGTCAGATATCGTCAGGGAGAGGAAAAGAGTAGCAGGCATTCTGACAGGGAGGAGATGGAGCTGCCTAGCAACAGGTTGTACTCGGGGCCTCTGTCTGTGGAGGCCCAGAAGATCCTGGCTGTCCTGAGGGCCCAGAGTCGGCACACAGTCAGACGCAGCCATAGCTCCTCCCATCACAGCCAACGTCAGTCAGGGCTAAGTGTACCTTACTTAAGATTGTGGCAGTAGCCTACATTATGTCAAAAACTGACCTCAGCCACACTTTCTTTTAGTTTGTTCAATCGATGTTGTTAAATTGAGCCTCTTTATAATTAATATTCTTTACTAAAAATTAAATGTCATTTTTTGTAAAGCAGTATTGAATGATTTGTAGATTTATTTGAGCAAATGTTGCTCTAGTACTGTAGGTTATTTTCCTATTTTCGGCAATCTGTAGCTCAATATCTGAACAAAAAACTGTTTTATAAATCACAGTATTTAAAAAAAAGAAACCCATTTGCCTTGATAATCAAATAGTTTCCAGGGCATTCAATTATTTGTACTTAACAGTTTGCAACATTTTGTAGTCATGTATGTGTAAAATCAGAGATAGAATTTACAGGTCAGGCGGGTTTTCTATATTTTTGCTGCCCAAGTCAAGTAAAGATTGTCTATATGTTATTTTAATGCATAATATATGAATATCTCTGAAAGTGTATAGTATTGTCTTTTTGTTGTGCATGTCATAGTGGAGAGGTATAGCAACAGCCAGGTGAGCAGCTGGAGCATGAGTCAGGAAGACAGCAGAGAGACGGGCACAGACAGGTACGACGATTAGCGAGAAGCTACGCATGGATTCCAAAATAGCACTTAAAGTGGACCCATCATGCTATATTTGAAACATATATTGTAGGGCCATACCTTACCTATATAAAACATGTCTGAAGTTTTCTTTTCAAAATACCAAACAGATCATGCATTTTAGCCATGCCTCATTTTGCTGTATTTGCTCTTTTCCAGCCCTGTTTTTGCAAGGGCTTTTGTGGCAGACTACAGCGCCACTTACAGGCCTGGCATATGTACTACAGCGTCTCCAGCGCGTTCAAGCGGTCTCTCATTCCCCTGATAGGTGGAGAGTTGCCCATATAGGCAGAGCACCCCTTTTCTGACGTTCAGACAAATTCAAATAATAATCAGCTCCGTTGCAGCCCCGTTTTTAGAGATTTGGGTATGGAGGAAAATAGAGAGGGTTGTGTTTTCTGACACTTGGTGAGTTCCCTGACACACCGGGGACACATATTCATGTATAAAAGACGTACAAAAGTGCATTTTGCATGATAGGTCCCCTTTAAATCAGAGCATCTATTTAAGTCATTCAGTATTTGAAATTATGATTATGCTGAGCTGATTGTTGCAAAAGCATCTGCACCCGGTCTGCACTTCAGTTCAAAGTAATAACCAGCAGTTTATTAGTATAAAAAGGGCAAGAGTTCAGGATTTTGAGCGATACAAAGTAAAATAAATGGTGTGTTGTTAAATGAATTACGATTGAATAATATATGTAATCCTTGAAGTGCTTAATGCAATTGTAATATAAGGGTTATGATTCAGTTCTTGGTCCAGGCCCCAGGTGTCCCCCACTTCCACTTCCTACCACGAAGCCTCCAATCAGCGGCAGACCTATCAGTCCTCGCAGGCGCCAGACTGCCTGACCCCCTCCGATTCCTCCTTCCAAAGGCACACGTCTCAGTCTGAGGCCTATTATCGGCCCTCGCAGATTTATCCCCACAGAAAAACCTCTGAACCTCCCGCTGGCCAATCCAGTCAGGCTCCGTCATTCACTCAGCGTGAGGAGACAGCAGCAACGATCCCCCATAGAGGCCCCTTCAACCTGTCCCTCCAAACACCAGGGAGACTTTGTGAACATCAAGCTACACCATGGAGAAAGTAAGTATAGCCAGGAAAATGTGGTTGGTATCAAACTTATGAATGTTAATGTATTCATGCATATAACAAGCTTTCAGTATTCAGAAATGATCAGAGGTGAAGAGAACACTTTGGGTGTTTCTCAATGTCGGGGAAGGCTGCTCCAGAGCCACTATTTCAAGGATGCTACGTCATCGAGTCCCGCCGAAGGACTGTTCCAATGTCCAGGATCCTTGGAATTCTACCGAGGCCGGCGTACTTAGTTGCGGGAAATTTCGAGGCTGCACATGTGTATCCTCCGCGGTCTTAAAATCCCCACAATGCTTTGCGCACGGCCCAAATCTTTGGCGGAAATCACGCTCCATTTAAGGCGGGGCCTCGCATATGATGCACACCTGTTAGCCTGTTCCACAATTTTTCGTTTTCCGAGGCTAGGAAGGATTCTTGCCTCGCTTCTGAAGCAAGTGACTCGGAAGACATGTGCTACCAAGCAAGCCTCCTCGACATTGAGAAACACCCTGAGGAAAATATTCGTTGTGGCCAAACGGCGGTACTACACTTCCGTATCAGTCGCAATACTTTTTCCCATTGACTAACATTGGGAAAGAGACGTCTGTAAATCGTTGGATAATTTTTTTTAAACTAAATAAACTACCCAGTATGAACACTTGTATAGCCCTTATTAAAAACATTCGGTCCTCAAGTTGTAAAATGTCCTAATAACGTTATTCTGAGAGTTATTTTCCTCGGCATTAGGAACGCGGATCTAACCCACGGGACCGCACCGCCCGGCACGTTCATGTGACGTGTTCAGTACTACATGAGTTTTACCTTTACCCATGGATGCACAATAAGAACGGATTATATGATTATATGAATACTTTCGTGACGTTTCGCTCTCTCTAAAGTTGGGCCATTTTGTCTTCATGCGCCAATGAGGAACTCTCATAGGAATGTACGAGGCCCCGCCTCCCACGCTGTATCCAGTTATTATTATACATCCATGATGTGTAGACTCCGCGGTCTTAAAATCCCCACAATGCTTTGTGCACGGACCAATTTCCAAAATCTTTGGCGGAAATCGCGCTCCATTTAAGGCGGGGCCTCGCATATGACGCACACCTGTTAGCCTGTTCCACCATTCTTCGTTTTCCGAGGCTAGGAAGGATTCTTGCCTCGCTTCTGAAGGACCTGACTCGGAAGACATGTCCTACCAAGGAAGCGTCCTAGACATTGAGAAACACCCTTTGTCCCAAAGTTAGGCGCTTGTGAGTGCTCCTCTGTAGCTGATTTTGTGAGTGAAAAGCATGAATTATGCATTTCGTACTTTTTTTACTTTCATAGTTCCGCTGAAGAAATCAGGCCGCCTTTCATCCAAAATCTTTCTCTCGACGAGGAGGAGGATGATCCTGATGAGGCTTTGTTTCCCACAACCGAACACCCCAATACCCAAAGAAGAGAAGCAACTGTTCACAAGGTTTCTTCCTGCTTTAAAATACGTGAAGAGACACATAATGACACATTAGTTCCACAGAAAGGAAACAAAAACGCAGAGAGCTGGCATGTCCTCAGAAAGAAGATAGACCACACTGTATCTTTGGACAGCCTAGCAGAGTGGAGACTCCCTCTATCCAACCCCTCTGAAGAGGTCATTAGCGGAGAGCAAGAAGGAGGATTACTATATCAGTTAGAGGAAGGGGCTGAGGAAGTAGTGGATTCGGAAAATATGATGCAAATGTCAGACGTAAGACATGAAATGCAGGATGAAGTAACGTGTGAAAAGACAAGACACATAGAAGCATATGAGAAAGGATCAGCCAATGAAAAGGAAGGACTTCTACCCTCAGGAACCAATGAGAATGCTATATTAGAGATGAATTTGAACTTTACAAGTAACACGGACAACAGGCTCCATTGTTATTCTGACGATGCGAAGTCCTGGCAGAAGGAAAATAATGACTCTGAGTGTAGCATTAGATCACCTGAAATCGAAGAAGTTGAGCATCCAGCTGACAGGGAGGATGAAGAGGCGTCAGTTGGATTTCACTGTGGCAGCCCAAAAAAGATTTCCGTGTCTTTGGAACTGGGAGAACACAATGTGAGCCACTGCCAAGCTGAAAAGCCTCAGGATACGAGTCAGGCAGGGACTGACACAGAAGAGAAACACTGCACAGAAAACCCACTGATGCTGTGTGAGCCCAACAAATTAGTCCTGGGTGGCCCCACTGCTGATAACCTGCAGAGAAACAGAGAAAGGATAGATGTGATGGAGGTCAACTTGGATGTGCAGTGGGAGAGAATTGCCACAAGCAATAAAGATAAGATGGAGACAGAGAAGCACCATTGTTCTGATGTCCAAATGACAGAAAGGCTGTGTGAGTCAGATTGTAGAAAGGGCAGTGTGAAGCCTGGAGGAGAGACTGTGTCAGGAGAGCAGGGGGGAGACAGAAATGAGACTGTGAAGCCACCTGTGGACTGCGACAATGAGAGTTCATCTGCAGGTAAATGCATGATTGGTAAGGCTGATAGTTTCTAAGTCGTTATGAAAGGAATAATACTGTGTCAGAGTTATTAGGGGTAAACATTACGTTTTAGCTTTAAGATCATTTCAAATAATAGTTAACACAAACACACGATCTGTGAGGAATTTCTCACTAAAGTGTATTTCAACTTATCACCACTAGAGTGCGCTAGAATACTTTTTTTTGTCAGTGCTTGAACCAATTGCAGAAGTGAATGCCCTCCACTACAAACTGAGTTTTGAATTATGAACTAGTTAGACTAAGAATTTGCTAAGTCATTGGTTCTTTTAAATAGAAAAATAGAAGGCTTATTGCTACCTATTTAAAGGGGGAGAGGGACTCAAATAATGATTAAAATGTTACTTATTAAAATGGAAAGAACTGTTGACTAAAATGTGAATGTGTTTATAAAGTGTAACTGAAAAAAGCTTTGAAATGTTACCTGTTATATC